AATCTGCTATCACATGGGGGTACTGAATTTTATTACAATTTCATGGACGCACACAATATTTAGCCTTGGCATGTTGGGTGACTATTTACTTGTTGTAACCTCATCTTTTATATTCTATTTAAAAAATGTGTATTTAAGTGTGTTTTGAGGCACGTAAGGGCATTTTTCACTACATTATGGGGTTTGATAATATGTTGCGCTAATATATTGTGCAATATAAAAATTTTAAACTGCCAACATTTTATTCTACAGGGTCCTGACTTTCAGAAAATATAAAATATATAATGTGTGGAGGGTTGAAGTCATTTTCAGGCCTAAAATGTATATACAAAAAACAAAAAAAGGCCTCGGTCATTAAGGGGTTAATATACATTTTACCTTTAAGGCAAATATGTTTTTTATATTACAACAAATATATATAGTTAAAGGAGAACTATGAGGTGAGCGATTTCCACTCATCCTCATAGTTGGAGCTGACCTGTGACATAGAAGCTGTCACAGGTCAGCTCTATTGATCGGGAAGTGAGCTCACTTTCCGATCATCTCCCTGCAGAGAGTAATGACTGTAATGTCAGGAATTCCCCCCTCCCCTCTCCAATCCAGCAGTGCTAAGTGGAGGAACAGACGGGGAGGGGGCGGGCACAGCTGGCTCTGCCTCTAGATAGGCAGAGCCATCTGTCACTCACGCAGCTGCTTAGATCCAGACAGTATTGTCGGGATGCGTCCCGGCAGCGGCACTCTCAGTACATCGCGGGCAATAGCCTGCGATATACTGAGCTTTGAGTCATGGGAGGAGGTTAGTATATGTCCTCCCGTGACCCTAAAGAGAACTACGGGGAACAACACTTACCCCATAGTTCTATTTTAAGACAACTAAACACAAAATAGCCTTACAACCTGCTGGATCATTTTTGCTATGGACTGCAGCCCATGTTGCCTTTCTGCAAATTTGATGGACAGATATTCAGATAGTGCTGAAGATATGTGTGGCATTTCTATGGCTGGCAAGCAAATCATTGAAAACTATTAAATGATAAAAATAGATGTATACAGCTGGCAGCATTGTCACTTTAAGAATTCCTTACTTTCAATACAATGGCCTTGAATCTTCTGCTTTTCTTTCTCAGTGAGGAGTCGGGTGATTTTTTCGATAGAATGAGAAGTGTACTTCAGAAACAAGAAAGCATGCAGCGGTATTGGAGGACCGAGGTACAGTATGTTCAGCTGTTTGTGTCATTATTATTGCTCATTTCCTAAAATAGCCACATAGCACAGCTGTAATGATGAAGGGAATAACTTGTGAAGATGCCTCATAGAAAGGTGCTTGCAATAAGCCCAATGTGAGATAGACACAATAGCAGCACATACAGTGCCAATCAATTTACAATGACAGCAGAATCACTTTCTGTGTAGGACCAATGTGAGTGATAGGTGTGTTTGCTGGCACATAAATATGCCTGATGGGATCTGGGGGCCCTCTCTTCTAACCAGTGACACAACAGTAGCCACAGCAGCCGACACAGCTGCTTCGGGGCCTGGGGATAGGATATGGGCACCAATAGGGAGGCTGTGAGATTTTTTTGGGCATAGATGGGCTGAAGTTAGAACTCATGGTTGTCTCTAGTCATAAATCCCATTCTGTACATTAGCATTTGTTTATCTCTCTTGGTATTTAGATTTATTGCTTAGATTAGTTATTGGATTTCCTCTCATTTTCTCTCAATAGAGAAAATTAAGGATAAAGACAAAATGAAGATAAAGAACTGATAGACGTTCTAACTAGGGATGCACAAACTTTGCCTGTCAAAACATTTCAGGCATGAATGGTACTTTGGGAAAAATGCAAGAAATGTGGTGCATCACTAGTTTCCCTCCTCCCTGCTGGGTGCTGCCCCATGTCCCCCTGACACAGAGCATTGGCCACCGGGGAGGAGAAAAGATTTCAGGAGGCTGAGCGGGGTGGGGAGGAGAGCGCTGTCAGCTGTGTCACAGAAGGTCGTGCTCTCCTCCCACACTGCCCAGCTTGGCTTCCTGTGACAAGCAAATCAGGATGGAGAGTGGTGTGTGGAGAAGACAGATGTCACAGGATTCTGGGCCGGCGGTGCGAGGAGGAGTCGGCTGTCAGCGGTGTCACAGGAGGCCGAGCTCTCCTCCCCTCACCACCCACTCAGCCTCCTGTGACAGTGAGTCAGGATGGAGAGCGGTATACAAACACTAAGCGATCAGCTGATCACTGAGTGTTTGTAAATAATTGAGGACATAGTAAGCTTACTGTGTCCCCAATTATGAATGAACAGGCAGTGCTCTACATCACTTCCTGTTCGTTACTAGAGAGATTATGCTTACTTTCTGTACTGGTGAACACAAAGGATGTGAGGGGAAAATGGACTCCTGTCTTTAGCACAAGTATTTTGTTCTCTGGATAACATCAGCAATTTAAAGTTTTGTTTCATTTGTTACCTGGAATTTCACTTTTACTAAATTAACTTTTTTTTAAAATAAATAAATATGTGTAGGCTGTGTCTTTTTTCCAGTTGGTTTATGTAAGCAAATGAGAGAATCCCAGACATCCCCACAAAATAATTGAATGCTTTATCTTCTGACTTGATATAGTCATTTTATCTAAAAATAAATTATGCACAGTGAGTAATGGGGTTTACTTCTCTTGAGCAGATGGCCACAAAGAAAAAATAAGTTAGTGCTAACTTATTGTAGAGATTTGTGTGTTTTTTTTTCCTTTCTAGGGTGTTTTAAATAACAGCATCCCTCCTCCACATGAGAACACAGGGAAGCATAGAGCAATAGAAAAACTGACACCTTCCAAAAGAGAGGTAATTATATTTTATGTCTGTTCAGTAAAGCTTGCAATTAAGTCAAAATGAAATCATTGCAATGTAGAGTTTATTAGTCACTAAATAGCTGAAGAGTGCAAACAAAACTAATACTTAAGTTATGGATGGATAGTTGTGGCATTAAACACAGGAAGAAATGTTCCTACATGCTTGGTCCGCTTCACCATTATTTAAAGCCCACGTGATCTTTGTATTTGTAAGAATGAATAGCCCTGGCCAGCTGAGATTAAAAATAGCAGCTCTCGCTGTCATGCTGCGCTACTCATCTTCTGGGTTGAATGACGCTCAGCGTCATCCAGCACACTTCCTGTGAGCCAAAAGCATCACTGGGGCATCATCCTCAATTTAATCTGGAGAATGATGCAGAAAGCAGCAAAGAACATCGTTAACTGGAGGGCTCATTCACTGCTGGTAGAGGAGACGGCCGGATTGAAACTTCTCGCAGGAGAAATGTATATAAAATATAACATGAACAGTGTGAGTTTTTTCAAAATGGGGGAACTGGAGTTTAACACAAAAACTTTAGTAGTGCCCAAGCATAATCCTTAACTCTGATCAACTGTCATAGTTATTACAAAGCCAAATGATGGTGTCACACTCCTCTAATGGAATACCAAGAAATGAAGAAAGAACAAAAAAAAGAAAGAGAAATATTTGTTCTAGCTTTACAGAGTAAATATAAACTACTGATCACAAAATCTTATCACAAGAATCCAGAAGGCTTAACAAATAGTGTGGCCATCAAAAACTATACTGACATCTGTGTTGCATGGTGTAGGCTTTTAATAGTGATCTTCTGTGTAAAAAAATGAAAAACGTTTTATTCACTTAAAGTAAATGTATTCCCTTAAAGGAAATTCATAGTAGCTCTGATTATATTTAAGGTTCTAAGTAAAACATATAAATTATGGTCAAAGTAAGGAAATTCAATTTTTAAAATAATATTTTTTTTTGTAGTTAAGGTAAACATAAAATATAGCTCTTGAATATTTTGTATTTTCATGTGCAGCCAGCAGGTGGAGCTCTAGTCTCCTTTTGTTTATGTTTGACTATCCATCCTTATCTTCTTGATGATAGAAACTTGTTGCTCAATGGATCAAGTTTAAATTTAGACGTACAGGTGAACAAGTAAGAGCAGCAGCTCATCCCCTTCTCTCCTGATGTTTATAGGGCACCAAGGTTTCATTTATAGATAAATAAATAAACAGCTTCTGCTGAATTGTCTTTAGAAATTATCTGGGAATTCTTTTTTGCTACGTTTTTGCTGCTACGGACACGAGCACTGTATGCTATGGCAGCCAGAATTCAGATTGTATATCTTCAGCAGACTTCCGACTTTCATTTACAGACGCCCTATCACTTCTATCAGTCCTGAAGAATTGTGATTTCAGCTACCACCCTTTTATTCTTCTGTGCCTCTGCTTTCAGAAAATAAATAATTGTAGGGAGCGTTAAGCAATTTTCAGGCCTAAAATGTGTACTTTAACATGTGTGGGGGGAAAAAAGCAAAAACTGCTCTTTTGGCAGTCAAAAGATGAAATGTATATGTGGTATATTTGTAGAACATATATAAACACAAAATGTTTAGAGGTTTATAAACTTTACAAATAATTTAATACATACAATTGGCCCTTTTCCCCCTACTGTGGAAATTGTACTTAAAGGAGAACTATGAGGTGAGTGCTTTTCACTCACAAACAGGGAAAAAGACTTGTCACCAGTGTTGCCTCTCTCTCTTGGTCGCTCCCTGTAGCTGAGCTTATCATGCCTTGGCCAATTATGTGTCTCTGTGTGGAGCAGGCCATCTTGGTAAAGGAGCAATGTTTTGCTTTCTCATGCTACAGCTGTCCCCTGATAACTAATGATCTGATTACTGGTGAGGTAATGATCAAGAAGCAGCAACAGAGGTGACTGTAGTAAAGATCCACAGAAAGGATGAAGCGGTGCTATTGTACACCAGGTCCCCATATATTGCTTTCTCTTCAGCAAGAAGAATATTGAGCAGCAAATTAGTGGCATCACCAAATTGCATTCCAAATCTTGTGAGGCAGCAGTGCCTTAGATCCAACCTTGCAGATATACAGAATGAGAATAAAGGAAAAGGAATGAATTCACATGCAAGGAAGTACTGTATTTCAGGAAGAATTCAAGGCAGCATTTTTTGGGGATATTGCTTTGGTACAGTTAAAGTTTGTAGATGTTCCTCATAAGATGGGAAAGCTTCACTTTTTAAGTTCATGTCCACTTTGAAAACATAAATTTGTTTTTTGTTTGTTTGTTTTTTTAAGCTGGAACTGCTGTATGAAGAAATAATCTACACACTTGTGTATATGGCTGGTATTGTGTCGTCTGAACACATTGCCAATGAAGAGGAACTCTTCTATTACCTTCAGATGGTATGTTCCCTTTGGTACCTTTCCTTAGATAATGTCATTATTCCTTGAATATTTCTTGTGCCCTTTTTTAAAGGATTCAGATGGGTATTTGTATTGCCAGCTATACCAATCAGCCATTACATTATGTTCACTAAGAGGTGAAGTGAATAACATTGATTACCTTGTTACAATGGTCCCTTGAAGTGGGTGGGATAGATTAGGCAGCAAGGGAACTTTTTGTCCCTGAAGTTGATGTGTTGGAAGCAGAGAAAATGGGCAAGCATAAGCATTTGAGCATTTTGACAAGGGCCAAATTGTGATAGCTAAATGACTGGGTCAGAGCAACTCCAAAACTGCAGCTCTTAATGGATAGCCCCAGTCTGCAGTGGTCAGAACCTTGAAGTATTGACTTGGCCTCCAAATTCTCCAGACAATCGAATCGAGCATCTGTGGGATGTCCTGTAAAAACAAGTCCGATCCAGGAAGGCCCCACCTGATAACTTACAGTACTTACTGTCAGCTAGGTGCAAGATACCACAACATACTTTCAGAGGTTTAGTGCAGTCCATGCCTTTGATGGGTCAGGACAGTTTTGGCTGGACCTGCTCAACATTAGTCGGGTGGTCATAATGTTATGGCTAATCTGTGTGTGTGACCAGTGTTGTAGATCAGCACCAGGGACAGCTGCCCCACTCGCTTTCCAAGTTTTTTGTCTGGCATTTTCTATGCAATTATTTAACTTATGCAGTTGGGTTTAAAGCCCAAGTTCACTTTTTTTAAATGTTCTGTATTTTAAAAAAATGAGGGAAATTACAGACTGTCGTAGCTGAATCATTCAAAAATGCTAGTTCCCTGTATACCCTACTGATCCAGTGGCTTTAATAATAACATCACTAGTCAACAGTCAACAAGTATACAGATCAGATTAGGAGCAACATCCTGACTTTGCCTAACTGCTACTGCTTATATGTGTGTGACAAGTGGCACACATTGTTTTCTTTGTGTCCCTATAGCACATGGTAAAAAGAATTACTGTCCATTAGTAAAGAGTTCTGGCGCATACGGGGTGTGGACATTTTTAAAAAAACTACTTGTCCAAGGACAGCGGGGGCCCAATCTACTTGTCCCAATACAAAATATAATTTTCACCAAAACTCTATTTAACAATGCGAAGAAGAGCTTCTCATTGGTCAGCGTGATCACCTGACCATGCTGACCAACAAGTGCTTACAATTTCTGAGCGAAATTCAAAATCCATAGGATAGTGCTGTGCTGGACAGCAGTATGGGGTACAGATAGTACACCCATACTGGCGGAGGGGAAGGACCGGGCGCCGACAGGTAATTATAGCGCCAGGGAGAGGGGGAGTGGGGGCCAGATTTGAGCAGGTAATTCCTTATTCCCAAATTACTTGGGAAAGTGAACTTACCCTTTAATGCAGCATATGCGTGTTAGAGAGCACTGCTTATTCACATGCAGATGCCGGGGTTGCTTTTAATTTTTTTTCTTTTATTGTTTTTTTACTTTATAATTTTTATTTAGTTTTTTATTACTTTTATTTTTATTTTATATTTTTTTTCTGTTTTTATCCATTTTTATTTAATTTTTTTATCATTTTTAATTTACATTTTTTTTTTTTTTACTTTTTTCAGGTTTCTTTTCCATTTTGGTATTTGATAGTGTTTGGAGGTGACAGATTCTCCTTTATGGAACCTGCCCTCCAACACAGAACATCAAGCAACTGCATTGTGCTCGAGTCTGTGCAGCCTGTGACAACTGGGATAGGGGGCGCTGTGAGTACAGCGCTCCTGTCTCACTGATCACAGAGAACAGATCAGGTCTCTGTGGTCCCGGGTTCCTCATTAGAGCGGGGGACCCTGAAAACCACGACGAGGGGGAGGAACCACTTGTACAAAATGAGCGGCAGCTCCCCCGCTGTACATATAGCTCTGCTAGCCCGGAGGAGTTCCACACCCTTGTGCTTAGTTGAGGTTCTGTCTGTGGCTATGATTAGCTATAACAGTGATGCTGTGATAACAGCCCCCGGTGCTTTGACTATGGCTCACAATGACATTTAGCAGCAGAGAGGAAGTGACATCTACCAGTTCACACTGAAAAAGAAACTGCTGTTTCCATGCAGAACATGTATGTGCGCTGCCACTTGGAATAAATGTTCCAATGATAGATACCTGTAATTTGCTTTATTTTTTTTTTTGCATTTTTAAAAAATGTTATTCATTTCCCTTTAGTCCCAATGTATTAATGTAATATGCAGATGTATATTGTAAAATGTGTATCTTCAAAACAAAGTTATTATCTTCGTCTTGTGGATTTGTTGTGCCACAGGACTAATGTGTTTTATTAGCAAACATAGTACATTTGGGAGATAGGCATGGATTGAGCTTTTGCAGGAGACACACAAGTCAATGCCTTTTATTAAATGTTTTACATACAAATACTGAACACATTTTCAGCTAAATTATATTTTGAGCATTATTCCCAAAATGCTAGAATCTTGCAAAAAAGGATTTGCAGTAAGTACTGTAAATTTACAAAGACCGCAGCCTATTCCCTGATCAAATTGCATTGTGTGTAAGGTGGTTTACACAGCACACAAAATGAGAAGGTGTCATAGTTATTCTGTATCTGTCTTTTCCACAAAACAACCAAAGTTTTTACCACGTTTTGTGTTTGTGTAATCTTCCATCTGTCCAGACGTTACAAAAGCAGTCTGCGTCAAACAAAATCAGTTTGAAATTCTATAGAGTGAGCTTCCTAATATAACATGCAGTCTGTAAAAATAATTGATTAAGCAGAAAACTGTTAGGTAGACATTGCACACAAATTTACAACATACTTTGGATGATACAAAGCAGTGAAGCAATAAAGGCAATCGGCCCTGAAAATGTCATCCCATATTTACTGATCTGCTGCCTTCAGAAGAACTGTTGACATGAAGGAAGCAAATGGCAGCTTACAGTCAGCTGCATCGGATAATAAGACACCTGACATCTATATCTTGGCTTTGTAGTATTTTTAGCCGTGTGGTCTTGTTCCTGCATCTCTGATCCAAACTGAAAAAACCCTTGTTTGTGTCTACAGGTTTTTGGAATGAGTGAGAGCGACCATGATTCCATTCTGATACATGTCAAAGAGTCAAAGGTAAAGGACCTGTCCCATCAACCTTATGTCTTTGTGTTATATTTCATACAAAAATGCACAGCTGCATGGCATTAGGGTACCGTGCGTTCCAGTCCGGTGCGATCAGAATAGCGCTTGCAGAATTTTGATTGCACCGGACCGCAGGCATTAATGTGCCTTGCGATCCCGCGCGGCCGGGGGTGCCATTCACTTCAACGGACCGCCACTCCCCCTCCTGCCCCGCAAAAACGTGAGCTGTCCGCAATACGATGCAGTGCGTTCTGGCCAGAATTGGGCCGGAACGCACTGCATCTGGTGTGAACCTAGCCTTAATGTCCAACTCCATCTTTAACTGGTATTTCACCCTTGTGTGCTTGGTAGCAAATGAACATGCATCACATATTATATCTCTGTGGAACTCTAGTACTGAGATATCCCAAACAGAAAATCTAGACCTGTTAAGTGCTGAAACTAGTGTAGATCCAAATGATGAAGTGACACTTCCCTGATGGTAATAGGAGGAGAGTCTAGCATGGCCTTTCATAGGGGTCGGAGACACAAACCTTCATATTCCAATCTCATCAGTGGATTTTCTAAGAGATGTAACTTTAAAGATTTATTAACACACCTCAGCCCACTGAAAATGGATAAATCATTTTTAGATGGAACTGCCCTTTAATATGACATTGAAGGAAGATAAATTATTTTGTATAGTTACATATTAAATGCCAGTCTTCAAGGTATGGAATGCAATACAACGCAGAAATTGCATTGCATTCTAGTAGACCAAGGCCCCATTTATAATGCAGCCTTACTCTGGCCATACCACTGCTTTAAAAAAATAAAAAAAGATGTTCTTTGCAAATGTGCATTGAGTTTGAAGCAAGCAAAGCTCTAATTAAATTTATGAATTTCCAAAAGTATAGCCAGGAGGACAACCTGGTCATGTGACCTGTCAAGTCCAGTGTTAAGCACCGAGAACCCTGTAAGACACTGCAAGGTTAATTGGCTCTTGCTTAATGGACCCTAGTATGTGTATATGTGCATGAATGTGAGGTAGGGACCTTAGACTGGAAGCTTCTTTAGGGGAGGGACTGATGTGAATGTATATGTTAAGTGCAGTGTAACTTATTGGTACTATATAAGTACCTACAACCCCAATTCCCAAAAAGTTGGGATGCTGTGTAAAATCTACATAAAAACAGAATGCAATGATTTGCAAATTTCATAAAGCCATATTTTATTCACAATAGAAAATAGAAAACATCAAATGTTTAAACTGCGAAAATTGACCATTTTAAGAAGAAAATAAGGTAATTTTGAAATTGATGGCAGCAACATGTCTCAAAAAAGTTGTGACAGGGCAAATAAAAAGGCTGGCAAAGTAAGTGGTACTAATAAGGAAGAGCTGGAAGAATATCTTGCAACAAATTAGGTTAATTGGTAACAGGTCAGTAACATAATTGGGTATAAAAAGAGCATCTTAGAGAGTTAGAGTGTCTCAGAAGTAAAGATGGGCAGAGGTTCACCAATCTGTGAAAAGCTGCGTCTAAAAATTGTCCAACAATTTCAGAATAATATTCCTCAATGTAAAATTGCAAAGACTTTAAATATATGATCATCTGCAGTACATAATATCAACAGATTCAGAGAATCTGGAGAAATCTCTGTGCACAAAGGTCAAGTCTAAAATGCAATATTAGATGCCCGTGATCTTTGGGCCCTCAGGTGGCACTGCATTAAAAACAAGCATGATTCTGTGATGGACCTCACTGCATGGGCTCAGGAAGACTTCCAAAAATCACTGTCTGGGAACATAGTACGCCATGCCATCTAAAAATGCCAGTTAAAGCTCTATCATGCAAAGAAGAAGCCATATCTGAACATGATGCAGAAATGCCTCCATCTTCTGTGGGCCAAAGCTCATTTAAAACACTTTTTGCAAAGTGGAAAACTGTTCTGTGGTCAGACAAATTGAAATTTGACATTCTTTTTGGCAACCATGGGCACTTCATTCTCTGGACTAAAGAGGAGAGGAACCTTCCGGCTTGTTATCAACGCTCAGTTCGAAAGCCTCGAAAGTAAGGGGGTGCATTAGTGTGTATGGAATGGACAGTTTGTACATCTGGAAAGGCACCATCAATGCTGAAAGATATATTCAGGTTTTAGAGCAGTATATGCTCTCATCCAGACAATGTAATTTTCAGCGAAGGCCTTGTATATCGCAGCAGGACAATGCTAAACCACATACTTAATCTATGGCATCATAGTAGAAAAGTCTGGGTGCATAACTGGCCTGCCTGCAGTCCAGACCTTTCACCAATTGAAAATATATGGCGCATCTTGAAACGGAAAATACGACAAAGACTGTTAAGCAGTTAGGATCCTATATCGGGCAGGAATGGGACAACATTCCTCTCCCAAAACTCCAGCAACTGGTCTCCTCAATTCCCACATATTTACAGAGTATTCTTAAAAGAAGGGGGATGCTACACTGTGGTAAACATGGCCCTGTCCCATCTTTTTTGAGACCTGTTGCTGCCATCAATTTCAAAATGACCTTATTTTTTTACTTAAAATGGTCCATTTTCTCAGTTTAAACATTTGATATGTTTTCTATTTTCTATTGTGAATAAAATATGGATTTATGAGATTTGCAAATCATTGCATTCTGTTTTTATGTATATGTTACACAGCGTCCCCACTTTTTTGGAATTGTGGTTGTAAAATGAACAAAATATGATGGATCAATTCATTTAAAGATAGCCCTCAAAGGTTGAAAGCGTCAGTAACCCTATTAGAGTGGGCAGGGCTATGCTGATCATTTTATATGTTGTTTTTTTCTGTGTGGCAGGGTTAAGGGTACTAGATGAGTCTATCATGGTAAACACTTGAGTTGGTCAAGTAGTTCTTAGCTTATGTTTACCGCAAGTAAAAATAGCACAGCGCCATGGATCGTGCAGAGGGGTTGCATTAATGATGATGGAAAACAAGAATTTTCTTTTTTATATATTTTTTTTTTATAGAGTTCATTAATGTCTTTTAAGATCACATCTATTTATATGCATCATTTTTCTGTTAAGGGCTTAAATATAATTATACACTGTCTGCAAACAAGCGGACTACAATTATTTAGCTGAAAGATGTATTATTGAACTGTTTTCTCTGCCAAAAGTTTTACAATTCTCTTTTACCACTCTTTAGATTTGTAAACCCTGCCATATAGTCAGCAGGGTGACATCACCATTTTCACACTCTGTGTCATTTGCTTATCAATAGACAATAATAAAGCATTTTCAAGGTGGTGAGTTCATCTATGTGCTCCCTAATCCTGTAGGCAGCCTACACTACTACCTCCATATCTAATGCCTGAAGCATGTTAGCGTGACACCAGCTGTGTCTGAATGGCGTATACTGTACTTCCTTCACACTGATTTCCGGCCACATTAACCAATCCAATAAAAGTTTACTTTGTGTTTGTGAAATATACAGAATGCTCAACTTTCAGTTGTATGTAGGTTCTTTTAGGATTGCAAGCTCTTGGACTAATGCACAAAATGGGTTCCGAACCTTGCAAATAATGTTTTGTGGGCTTGAAGTAACCCTGTCATCACAAAGTCACTTTTACAAAATAGGTCATCTGCAAAAATATATATATATATACTTAACTTCCTGGCAGCCTGTGTATTGAAAAGCTGCCCCTTATCCACTCTCAAGCCTCTGCAAGTATTCTCCACTGTTGGGTGAGTAGAATAATTGTTCCCCTTGGTCTGCTGAGGTTCATTCCACTGGCTCGTATGGAGCTACAGGACATACCAGCCAGGAAGGAGGAACCACAGCAACCAGGAGGGGCAGCAAGGAGCCGAGCAGCTTTTCAATACATGGGTGGCTGGAAAGGTAAGTATGTAAATGCTTCATTTACAGGTGGACTATTTTTAAAAAAATATGGCCACAGGGTCACTTTAAAGTGTACAGTTATAAGTAAAATTTGAGGTCTGAAATGGATTCAGCATCCATCAAAAAAACACTTTTGCTACAGAAATCCTGTCTAGCCTATTATTTAATTAAATGCATCTCAATCAAAAATGTAATAAATTGTTACTTACCAGTCCTTAGATGTTGCGGTTGCAATCGTTTTGTTTTTTTTCTCCTTATTTTCAACTGGTGATTCTGCCAGTAACACACTTCCTGTCTCAGGGTGATGGCTCTCATTCACTTTATTGTTCCTTTTTGTGTGGAAGTGTGTTAGTACTGCAGAAAGCCTTTCCCTCACCTCATCTACATAACATAGGGGGAAGTGTTCTGTAGTTTACAGAGGAGAAGCCAGTGCTTGAGATACCCCTGCAGAGTGTGCAGGACAACACTGGATTTCTGGCAGGGTCATCAGGTATTTTTTGCACTAATCAAACAGATACACAAAACACTTGAAATTAAATCTTTTTTACAGAAGTGAATACAATGATACATTTAACAGACCAAAATGGAGCAAAAAAGATTGTTAGGGTCTACAAACTCTTCACAGATACACTTAAAAGTGACTGTCACCACGGCCGGATTTCCCACAAGGCCCGGCCTCGGGGCAGCAGGGAGTAGAGGGGCAGCAGGGGAGTGGAATTCCTATCTCTCGATGCTCAGGCGGTTAGTTTTCTACATTAAGCCCTACTTCGGGCAAACCGAGCTAAATGTACAGAGGGGAAGCCGCCGCTTGTTTTGTACAAGTGATCTCGACGACATTGTATGCAGCGAGCAGGTCTGCTATTCTCCATGGGGGGGGCAGGGTTTGGTGAGTAGCGGGGCGCATTGAGGATCCTGGCCTTGGGGCAGCAGAGAGAGTAAATCTGGCCTTGACTGTCACTTTAAAAAAAAATAAAGCTGCTAGCAGGTGTAAATACTGACACTAGCAGAGTCTGCCCATAAAGGCAGCAGCTTTGATTGTATGCCCTGTAAGCCTATGTATGGGACCCAGCGCCCATCTTCTTTATCAAGTACCAAGAGATGTAAACGCTGCATTGAATTCATACAGGCCAAGCAGCGCTAAGCAGCATTTCTCTAGAAATAAAGTATTGGATTATATTTACTGTTTTTCTGTAAACATTCGGATTATTTCAGACCCACAAACCTAGTTAAAACTATGCTTTTTCTACAAGAGGATAAGGTTTACACCAACTGCTGTAGATTTCCTGTTAACATGGCTATATATAATCAGGCACTCAGACACTTCTCATGCTTTGCTGCACATGGCTTTATCTGCAACACATTTTTCTATTTACTGTAATGATTGTATCTAACCAATGTGGATGTTCAACACCCATGCTATATGGCTGTAAATGTGGTTGTACAAGAACTGCCTACATGAACTGAAGAAGCTTTTGTATATCCACATCTTGTTCCTTGTCAATGGAAATTCAAGTGGATATCTGTCATCTTTAAGTGTTGACTTGCCTGTTGTTAAAATAATTTTAAACCTGAACTCTGGGCACAATAAACTTACTGGTTAAACCTTGCCTTGCTTCAAAAGCAACATCCCATCATGCAGGCTTTATTCTACATCTGTCAAATCTGCTGGTTTTCATACCATGATTGATACAGCTCCCGCTTCCAGGCTGCTTGGATGTAAACGATGCAGGTCATGCCTCTGCACCCCTCTGCTCCAGGCTATTTACAAAGCAAACAGCCCCAGACTTTGTTTTGTGAATAGCCAAGAGGAGAGGGAGGCAGAGACATAATTTCAGCAGTAGGGTCTGAGACTTGAAGCTCTTACACCGAAGTGGCCCAGAAGTACAGTGGGAGCTTTACTAATCCCGGCATGTAAACCAGCAGGTTTGGTAGATGTAGATTAAAGCCATTTTTTATAGGGTTTGAAAGAATCGAAACTTATAAAAGGTTCTCATTGCTATCTTTGTTGGGGATATTAACTCTCTCTTCTGTTCTAGATACACAACAGGAAGTGAGTAAAAGCCTCCCCAAGGTGTGGAGAAATGCCACCTTTAATATTTGGCAGTGTAACAGGAGACTCAATTGGGAAATTTCTCATCTGCTTCTGTGCTGGGGACAATAACATTTTTTGATTTTGCCTCACTCTTTTTTCTGGTCACAGTGGCCAGGAAAACATGGTGAGGGTGGATCTAGCAAACGTTGACACAGACAGAAATAAACCCTAATAGAGATGTAACCCACTTACCACTCTATGCAAAACTATTACCAAGTTTTGTCTAAAGCTCATGTTTATGTATCAACATAACTTATACTTAGTCCAGTGTCTCATTAATGTATTCCTTTTTTAAACCGTTCCTCTTTTTACTTAACCTAATAACACTACTCCTGGTTCCAGTCTTATTTTAATAACAGTTTGTAAAATTGAGACCCTTTGTCTTCTTCCAGACAGACTAACAAATCCTAAAAATAAAATATAATGAGTCTTAGACAGACTATTCTAATGCAACGATATGCTATAGACTCTACATTGTATTAAACTTCAAAGATTAGTTTGATTCTAAGCTTTCCATTTGATGTCTCGTTTCTTCTAGGCTCCTCTCTATGCTTTTAAAGTCACAGTTGTTCAGGCCAGAAACCTTCTTGCTAAAGATGCCAATGGTAGGTTTTGTTGGGAATATAATGTTTGTTGTTTATTCATTCACCCTTTAAAGGAGGACCTCCAGCCAAACAGCTAAATACATATTTCAAACACATATATAGCTACTGTTTTACTGGCCAAAACATCTGTAAAATTCCACCCATCTTCCTTCCCTCTTGCACCTATTGCCTTACAGAGAAGGCATGCAAATTCCAATTGGTGTAGCAGTCCAATAACATAAAACGATTATGTCATGACTTTTAAATCTGTGTGTCATCCAAAGGGTGTTTTTATATATTTGCCTGAAGTTCCATAAGTAAAATATTAGTTGCATTTTTTTAAATTGTTACTATGTCCTTCAGTGTTTCCCAAGGGTATTGCTTGATTGTTGTTTCACCTGAATTTGAGTTCTCTCTGCCTCTGAAGCCAACTGTGGATTCTTGTTGGATGCATTCACTGTCAGTTGGACCTCCGGAAGTTGTTCAACAGCTGAGATAGGCAGCCTCTGTTGCTTTCCAGCTGTTGTTGAACTAGGCTTGTTGGAACTTATAGTTTAACAACAGCTGGAGAGCCACAGGTTGCCTAAGCCTGGTCAACACCTGCCACCGGCCTAAAGATGTCACTCTTGTTAGCCTTTGTCGGTATGGCTTTTGCATTTTGTTTTATTTTTGTCATAATGTGTGGAATGTATCTGTTTTTCATTACCCTGCCACACATGGTTCAACAGGCCTATGCTTAGCTAGGTGTATGGACCTGCTATGTTTGGGTCTTAGGGCCCGTTCACACCAGTTGCAGTGCGTTCCAGCCCAATTCTGGCCAGAACACACTGCCTCGCATTGCGGCCAGCTGACTTTTTAGTGGGGCAGGAGGGGGGCGTGACGGGCCATTGAAGTGAATGCCACTGTAGCCACGCCCTCCGGACGCAATGCGATCAGCCACATGGGATCGCAAGGCATTATGCCTCCGGTCCGGTGCCATCAAAATGTTGCAAGCACTATTTCGATCGCACTGGACGGGACAGGACCGCAGGCATAATGTGCCTTGCAATCCTGTGCGGCCGATCGCGTGGCTATGGTGCCATCACTTCAATGGCCCACCACGCCCCCTCCTGCCCCACTAAAAAGTGAGCCGGCCGCAATGCGAGGCAGTGCGTTCTGGCCAGAATCGGGGCGGAAGGCACTGCAACTGGTGTGAACGAGCTCTCAGAGTTAAACAAAAGTAACAATCTTTCTGTGTTTTGCAGCACTATGTGTAAAGCATATGTAAAAACCAATCCCTAAAACCTCATATAAATTGTAACATGTTAATGTATTTTCAAAAGGTATGTTCAATACTTTAAAATATGCAGCTTTCATTTAAAATATGATGCTGACAGAAATGCCCTACAGACGGTCTTCCAGTGGGGACTATATGTGGCTCTTTGAACACAAATTGTGCAGGCATGGTCCACTGTTGTCACCATCAGGAAGACTGCCCCAAGAAATGCCATGCAACTATCATGTCATATAGGTAAGAAATGACTCAAATATGCTGAGCGCTGAGATGCAGCAAAGAATGAAAACTAAAAACAAGTATTTTATTTACAAAATAATGGCAGTTGCTTATGTTACAGAGTGTTTTGGCAAACTAAATGTCATTCAGTAGGGTTTACATGTACTTTATATTAAAGAACATGTGTGACATGTATTACACAGCGTGTAATGCCCAGAACAGTTTTTATCCTTTGTTCACTGTGCCAGTATACATGTTAATATCTTCATATTAATCGATCCACGGTGTAGCGCTAAAGGCCTCACAGTGTTCCACCCAAATAGTGTTGGATTCACTGGCGGAACTACCAGGGTCGCAGCGGTCGCACTTGCGACCGGGACCAGGTGTTCCGCCAGTTCGGGGGGGCCAGAGAGCAGAGGAATACCACAATCACATCAGTCTCTGTACAGAGGAGCTTACACTCTAATGTCCCCCCCACAGTCACATCAGTCTCTGTACAGAGGAACAGAGTTCGGGAGCACAGCTCACAGCACAGAGTGAGGAGATTCTGGAGGAGAGCTGCCGCAGGTCCAGGTAGGCACTGATTGTTCATTGCTGTATATGTGCTGAGTAGTGACAGTGTCTTGCTAATTTCTTTTCCAACCAAAAACAATAAAATCATTTTTGGTTGGAAAAAAAAATTACAGTGCAAGACAATGACACTACTCTGCACATTGCCTGCTGGGAATTGGAGTTCCCTGACAGGCCTCACCCCGCTGCGAGCGGCGGGCCTCCCCTTCTCTCTCGGCCCCCCCCTGAACTGGCGGAACACCTGGTCCTGGTCCTGGTCGCTGCGACCCTGGTAGTTCTGCCAGTGATAAAATGCTTTAAAGTGTTATTAAACCCTCAGGTGTTGTTACATATATGCACTGGCGGAACTATCAGGGTTGCAGGGGTCGTACTTGCGACCGGGACCTGGTGTTCCGCCAGTTCGGGGGTGGCCCAGAGAGAAGAGGATGGCACAGCGAAAAATGCGATTGGCCGCAGCGGCTCTGATTGCACCTGTCAGCGATCCCTCTCTCTCCTCCCGGCCGCTGCAGCTTCAGAGCGGCCAGGAGGAGAGAGAGGGAGAGCAGACAGGTGTGATCAGAGCCGCCTCTCCGAGCAGAGGAGAGGCAGGTAAGTTCCTGCCCCCCTTCAGAAATGGTTTCTTGCACTGGGGCCCTGAGGTTTCTAGTTACGCCTCTGGTTGGATTGCAAATGTGAAATAAAGGGGTTGATTTACTAACCTTATAAACACACCACGAACATGTATACACCTCTGTAGTGTGTTCCCTGCCAGCATGATCTATGGGTGGAATCTAAACACCTTTGTAGTGTGTACACACCCAGCAGGGGGGTTGTGCAAAGCCTTGCATGAATTGCAAGGTGATGTGTAAATTAGCTCTATGTTGTGTTGCTTGCATTGATGAATGCAGGAATGTAAATGCATGAGCTAACCATTTTTGTCTAAACCGTGAAGCAGCATTATATATGCATCATGTGCATGATTTTTCCATATATGGCATTAGTGGAAATATGCTTTTAGAGACTTTTTGGTTGATAAATACGTTTTGCTGTGTGAAAATCACACGCACCTGGTGCGTGCGTGTGTTTAGGTTAGTATATCACCCCCACAGTGTCAAAATTCATGTTCGTAATAAAGTATCTAAAAATCAATCTCTGTGTGAAAGACAGTTTTGTACAACCTGTGACCAATGTATATATCAAAAAATTGACTATACAGCATCTATTTAGACCTCTGTCAGAGGAAAAAAAACTTGTGCGCAAAACAATACAATATATAAGGATACAGTTCAAACAGGTAAATTATATACAGTGTATCATCTGGTGAACTGATGGAGTGAAAAAATGTCAACACTCAATAACCTCCAGTGAAATAATAAAGTGAAAAAATATCAACAGCAAAATCTCAAAAAAATGTATATATTAAATAGTGAAAAAAAACGTCTGAAAATCTAAAGTGAAGAAATCAAATGAACTTAAAAAATAAAGCAAAAAATTAAGCATGAAGCTCCGTTGTCTTGAAGAAATATATAATAGAAATATAAGGATACAGTTCAAACAGGTAAATTATATACAGTGTATCATCTGGTGAACTGATGGAGTGAAACCTCCAGTGAAATAATAAAGTGAAAAAATATCAACAGCAAAATCTCAAAAAAAGTCTCGGGTTTGCACTTAACAGTCTTAGGATGTTAATAAGCCATATATAACACCGGGATCAGAGCAGCCGTTTCACCGTCTTGTCCTCCGTCTTGACCTCCCCAGGCTCTGCCGGCATCCTATGTTTGGCTCCCATAAAGATCATAAAAAATATAATGATACTCCCATAGTGTATTAAAAGGGGTTTATTTAGATAAAAAACAGCGCTGAGATAAAATTAAAAACGAAAACCAAGAAACGAAAAACAAAAGCCGGCCGGTCAGTCAGAGGCAACTAATCAGACTGATAGTGTGATGCAACAGCAGACCCAACCCGACGCGTTTCAGCGTATAGACGTTCAAGGGATAGCAGGTCTGCCTATGTCACACTCCAGTCTCCCTATATACTATCAATGCATTCATTAATTTGGAACATGTGTGAAAAAGGAAATCTTCAACAATCATGAGTAAAATATCAATGGTATAATGTCTTCAATAATTAACCATAGATCTATAGAAGGGCTCCTACCCTCAGGAATAGATTAGTTAAAAATGCTCTGAGCCCACCCAAACGTAATTTCACCTTCTTTGAAGGAAAGGGCTTCTTCCCTTGTGGAAGGTGCATTTGCTGCAGGACCACTACCGTGTTTCCCCGAAAATAAGACCTACCCCGAAAATAAGACCTAGTGCTAACTTCAGGGATTTCTGTAATATAAGACCTACCCCGAAAATAAGACCTAGTTCGGCAGTAGGGGGCGCACATGTATTGCTGCATCCAAGTAGCCAGCAAGGGGTCTGAGTGTAAAAATCAATGATATGTGCAGCTTGTCTCCTGTCTGCATGTACGGTCTAATAACAATGTCACGATCGCAAAGCTCCCTCCCTCTCGCTGGCCCGTCTGCCTGCCGGTCCACCCGTCTGCATGTACGGTCTAAAAACTTTCTGGCCGCAGCTCCCTCCCTCCGGCCCGTCTGCAAGCCGTTCCGACCGACTGCCTCCCGACTGCCTTGGCTTTTAGGATGCCTGGACGGCATCAGAGAGCTCCAGACAGCTGCAGCCAGGTACAGTACTGTGACACTGTGACAGTCACAGTACCATTCTTTCACTCCCCTTCTCCAGTACTGTATGATACAGTACATTACATGCCGGTATCTCTGCTCTGTGTAACAGTCACAGTCCTGATTTCTGTACATACCGTTTTCCCCCCGAAAATAAGACCTAGTGTGTTTTTTGGGGGGAAAAAAAATATAAGACACTGTCTTATTTTCGGGGAAACACGGTATGACCAAAAAGAAAGTAGGTGTTTTTAAGTCTAATATAACTAATAAAGAATTTAAAGTAAACAG